AAAAAACCCTCTCCCTGGAGCCTGCTTGCCTGCCTGAGCTGTGTGGGGGCCTGGTGCTTCCTTCTGTGGCTGCGATGCCCCCTGGGACCACCCAGGTCAGGTGCCTGCAGGCAGGTGCTGCCTGGGAGGTGCCGCTGTTGCTGTGGAGGGAAGCACCAACCCCCTTGCCCCCTTACCCCTCTTCCCACACTTGGGGACCGCTTGGCCTGCTGGCAGCTAGCCCTCCCCTCCCCTTTTGCAACTGTTCATCATCAACTGCAAAAGACCTTTTTTTACTTATTCCATTGTCATAGTTTGGGATTCACAGTGGTGGTTTACTTTGACAGCCATAAGTCAGTAAGTTTTCAATAGCTCTACATCATAGGGGGAAATGGAACTTGTAGATATTTTCCTTTGATTTATTGAACAACGCATCCAATTCTACAAACACTTTTGTATACTTAGAGCTTCATGAGTGAGTTGTAATAAAATAATATGACAGGACCATGTTTTACCTAAAGCAACTAAATACAGTTGTAGGATCAGGGCCCTGCTCTGTAAATCTGGCATGAAGGTGTCACATCTCTGTGTCTTCTTAATTGGTTATTTATTTTCATATATTAAATGGAGATACTAGAAATGAAATTTTATAATGAAACAAAAACTTTTTTTGCTGATGAAAAGGGGATGTAACTGTTGACTATTTTCTTTCAACTATAGGGTAGTCCAGCATAGCATCTGTTACTGATTTGAAAGTAGTCAAGGAGGGGTACTGTTTTTCTACTACTTTATTGTTTTGAACTTTGCTTTTGTTTCACATGGTAACAAAATGTCAGTTCCCCATGAAACAAAGTTCTGAAAAATTGGGATTCAGAGTTATTTCATCAATGTTAAATATAACAAGTGGAAGAATTTCTTTTCAACCTCATCAAAAATAAAATTAGAGAGTGACACCTTTACTTCAAAGATTTTCTTATACTGACATATTCCCGTGAAACATTTTAATCAACACAACTATGGTTTCCAAGTAACTTTTCAATAACTCAGTTTTATGATTGGCATTACAAATAGCATTATGAGAAAATTAATTCAGTTAACGTTCTGATATCCATACAGTTGAATATGACCATATACAGAAGGCAGGGTAGATTGGCACCTTATATACTAACAAAAGTAGGTAGCTATGTATAGCATAAACTTTTATGAGCTGAAGTTCACTTCCTCAGATGCTATGAAAGGACATTCAGAAAGCAGAGTTTAAGAAGGAAAGAGAAATTAGAATACAAAATTAAGGGAGGTCAGAGAGAAGAGGCAGGGAGGGGGACAGTGCTGGTCAAGAGAAGCAAACAGGTAGTAAATATAGGAACAAAGAAGTCACCAAAACTAACCCAGACAATGGGATGTCTGTTTAAACCAAACTTAATGCAATCCAGTGTGTGGATCCTTGTTCCACAATTACCCATTAAAAATTGTTTTTAAAAGTTGCTGTCTGAGAACAGCCACTCTCAGGTCAGCAGTGGACTGTCCAAGGAGGTTAGTGTCCTGCCACAAGCTTGTGTTTCTTCCTGCAGTTGATGCTAGAGCGGTGTTCATTCTGTTGTGTAGGGATTGGCTCATCTGTCCAGTGTAGACAACAGAAGGGCACTGTAAATAGATGATGATGATGAATAATCGGCGGTGCTCAATGTTTTGCGCCCCCCCTGCCTGCCCCATGTGCCAGGATCAAGGCCCTAAGGCCCATGTGGGGATTGGATCCCGTGCTGCCCTGCATGCCTTCTCTCTCTGTGGGTAGCCCCACTGGCCGGATGACCTGGCACTGGGGGCTGGATTTGGCCTGCAGGCAAGTGGCTGAGTACTCCTGGTGTAAGTGCATTGATGGAGTTGCAAACGAATGAGCCTTGGATGTTATAATCCATGCTATTGGATCCAGTGATGATGTGGTCTCTACTGGTGTTGGGGCACAGACGGCATTTGGGTCTGTTGTAAGGCCTGGTATCTCAGTGAGACTGGGAGTTAGGTTGCTTGACAGACTCTGTTTGAGGTTGAAGGGTTGCCTGTAAACTAGGACTGTTTTGTCTCCCATAACTATTTTGAGACAGTCATCCTTTTCCAGGAGGGGTTGGGGTTCTTTAACTGTATGTCTCAGGTGTTCAAGTCAGGGGGCTGTAGGTGATAGTCAGAGGGACTCTGTTGTTTTTGTCCCAGGCTTGATATTGTAGCAGGTCAGAGTGGGGTCTGAGCCTAGCTTTGTTGGTTTTAGTAGCTACAATTTTGGGGTTGTATTCTAATTATAAGAATCCTTGCTCCATATCCTTAAGGTGTGCATCCCTGTCAGAGTCCATGTAGCCAGAAACTCCTTCTGTGATGGTACCAATGTCAGAGACAGTGCAGTATCCTGGGTTCCCAGGTTTGTAGATCTTGGGTAATAAAATTAAAGTTGCCTGACATGGGCTTCTGGGAGGTGGAAGAAGCAATCCTTTCCTGCGTTTTCCAAGGTAGATCCAGTAAGAATTTATCCAGTTCCTCCTGATATTGTGCCATAGGGTTCTTTGTTGGTTATGTACTGTATGTACTCTGTTTTGTCCAGGACAACAGAGACAACCTCCTTATCAGCCAGTTGTGTGATTATATCCAGGTTGTTTTTAAGGCTGAGAATGGCTCTTTGTTTTGCAGGACTGAGGTTGTAACATAAATAACATTTTTCTTCACAATCTCAGGGTGGACACAGAGGTAGAAATAGTTTATATATAGGTCCGGAGTGGGGCTGTGGCTCTTGGGTAGAATCCAGGAGCTGTCCTTCTTGTGCTGTGTATGCCTCAATTCTGTGCCAGGTTGTTTGTTGCATGGCTCCATGTCATGGAAATATTCCCTCAGTCTTAGGTGGCAGAGAAAAGTCTAAAGATCTCTATACAGCTACACTGTACTGATTTGTAAAGTAGGGCAGAAAGACCACGGGATAGTACAGTCACCTTAACTGGCTTGAGAGTGTGGTTGGATAGGTTGATGACATTACATTGGATTGTAGGGTTGCTGTTGGAGCTTGAAAGCTTGGAAAACTTTGCTTCCTCCTTCTTTAAGGAGTGAAGCTGTTTGTGATAGACTCAATGGATGGATACAGAGATCTCTTTCTGGTAAGTGGCTTTTATATGTGAAGGGTGGATGTTCTCACACAGCAAACTTTAAAAAAAAGTATTTGAACTGGAAATTGTGGAACAAGAAGTCATCCACAGACTGGATTGCATTAAGTATGGTTTAAACAGGGACAATGGATTATTATCCCATTACCTGGAATAGTTTTGTTCATATGGCTTGTTTGCTTGGGTCTCCTAGAACTGTCCCTCTCCTTCCCCATCCCTCTCCCTCCCTTGTCTTTTGTATTCTAGTTTCCTCTCCTTCTTAAACTCTGCTTTCTACATGCCCTTTCATAGCATCTGAAGAAGCAAGCTGCAGCTCACAAAAGCCTGTGCTATATATCTACTTTGCTTAGTCTGTAAGGTGCTAATTTAACCTGTTTTCTACTTGACTTCATACTACCACAGATAACTATGACCATATGTTTCAGAAGTTTCTTTTTTACCAAGAGTCGTCATCCCATATCTTAAAAAGAGAAGCAAAATAAATGCTATATTAGGTCACTCTAATATCATTACATCTAGTGATACTTCCTTTTTGGAAAATACAAAAATGTATCCTTAGCTACTGCTACGGTGTTCTCTTGAACATGATTTTGTCTTTTTTTAGGCAACATAGGGATCCTGCTCTTGGAGTATATCTTGACGCACACTGGAGACAGCATTATCACTTCACATTGTCTTTAATGGGAAAAGAATTGTAGCTAGGCTATGGACAGTTGTAGCGTTACAAAGTGCTAAGGCACTTGGTAGCGCTACAAAAATAAAGCTCTATGACAGTAGCACAGCCCCCTGGCTAGAGTGCTACAAAGTCTCCTCCAAGGCTTGCTCTCCAGCCAGGCAGCAAGAGGGGCTCCTACTTTGCTTCTCACACATCCAGGGGAGTCTGTCAATGATCAGCGGGCAGCAGCTTGTCACTGATCCAGGGAGGGGAGGAGAGAGCCTTATACTGTAGTGGGGTACCAGTGGTAAAAAGTCTGCTTTCTTTTGATGCCAGCACTGGCATCATGTAGAGGCAGCAGTAGCAGAGAGGCTGTGTTGAGCTGAATTGTCGGGGTGTTTGGGGTATTTACGGAATATGGAGTCAGCACCAGAATTTGATAATTTGATACATTGCATCGTGACACTGAAGATTTAATTTGGATCCATTTTCAAGCTTTTCAGTTGTATCGGTATGAATAGCCCAATTAGAAATCACAATCAATATATTAACTGAAATCTGAGCTTTTCTTTTTCTTTTGAAGATTCATTTACCTATCTTGCGTTTATTAAGCCATCTGATAGCTGCCATTAAAAAACAATAGACCACAACATTGAAAGCTCAGAAATAGAAAATGTTACACTTTTTTCCTGTTTTTTCAATAATACTCATAATTTGCATTTATAGTTCCTTTGCAGAGAACCAATGCTTGTGAGTATAAAAATGCATATGCAGTCATATGAAACTGTTTGTTGGTGTTGTTTTTAATGAATGCTGAAAGTGAAAAATTGATGTCTTGTGTATGTAGGGACATTAGTTGGAACAGTGATTGCAAAAGATTTAGATGAACCTTTAACTCCGCACACCATGTTGAGATACCGAATTGTGCCCAGCATACAGACGACTGGAACATGTTCCACATTTGGTATACACAGTGAGACAGGTGTAATCACTGTAATTTCACCAGCACCAGACAGAGAGGTAATTTTTATCTAAAGTATAATGTTTATTTTGCTTCACATACAATGAGAAGATTATATATAGAGAAATATGGCTAATGAAGGTAGAGGCACAATATATGGCCTAAAATTGAGAGACCCAAATTTTCCAAAGCTTGGGGAAAGACACTAGGATTCAGGTGAACCGCTTCTATTTTCCTGAAATCATGCAAGAGTGGAGCAAGAAGGTGAAATTGAGATTTCTGAAATACTTTGTGACTGCCTCTTCGAAGATAGTGACAGTAGGCAATAGAAATGGGAGGGAGATGTAGTTACAGTGTAGAAACAACAGAAGGTGATATAGTCAAGTTCTAGGGACAAGAAAAGGACTAAGTTAAAGCAGACTGTATTGTAAATAAAATGCATGATATTCTGTTAGTTTCTTTTTAAAATCTTGCTTTGGTGTATAGGGCTTGATGCAGGCCTAAATAAAACTTGACAACTATTAGCAATTTCTAACTAGTTTCTCCTTTGCTGACTTAGCCTTTATATATGTAGAGTTACTGATAATGCTGCTGATAATGGAACCAAAAAAGAGTTAAGGAAAGGTATAACAAAATGAAAAGAGGCCCTGCAATCCTGGGTAACAGATACTACAGAAACACAAGGGGAACAAAAAGCAAACAGAAAATTAATGAAGGAGGATAAAGAGCAGGAAGTAGTTAATATCACATTTTTCCTTTGGTGTCTGACATGGCTAACAGGTTTCTAGTAAAGCTTTTTGAATGATATGCTGTTTAGCTGCTGAAGAGACTTTGTTGTTTTTGTGTTTTTTGATAATAGAAAAGAATTACAGTTTTAATAATGAAGCTTAAAAAGGGGGAGGGAAAAGTAAAGGATCTTGCTCTGCAGCCAGTGATACTGCAAACAATGCATTTTCGACTATAACCTTTTTTATGTTCCTTTCCAGATGGTAGGCAAATGTACGTTCCCTGTAGAAGTAAGAGATATGGCAGGTCAGTCTTTTGGCTTGTGCAATACAGGGACGGTTGAAATTGAGATTGAAGATGTAAATGATAATGCACCACAGTGTGAAAAGAAGCCTCAGTGTACTGTAAGTTTTCTTTACAGTTATGCCACTAATAGTTACAAAGCTGCCTGCTTTTTGTGAAACTCTGATCACGTCCTGGTCTCCCTCACTATTTCTGCAGGATATAGGTCTTGCTTCCTGGGGTAGATGGCTGCTTCCTCATGTTGCAAGAAAAGAGCAGATGCAGTTACATTCTTCTAAGTAGCAAAGGAGTGTGGGGGGCCTAGCTTCACTACAGTTTGTCTTCCAGGGCTTCTGGTCTCCTTTTGCCATATTCTGAATGAATTTTGTTACAGACCTAAGTGGAGGGTCTTCTAAGATGGATTTTGGTGGTTGGCCAGATGTGCTGTCTAGAGCAGTGGTTCTCAACCTGCTTGCGATAGTGGGCCACACTTGCAGCTCTCAGTGTGTCATGTGGGCTGCACCCCATGGCTGAGGGGGCCCCCAGCTGCCAGGGCAGTGGGACCAGAGCCAGGGCCTACAGCCCCCTGCCTCCTCCCCAGCAGTGTCCGAGCCCTGGCTGCCACCTGCGGGAGGCAGTGGTGGCTGTGGCTGGAGCTGAGTGTGGAGTTTGGCCGCCTCTCCCCCACAGGTGGCATGGCTGGAGTGAAGCCTGTGGAGGGGGTGGATGTGGGCTTGGGGCATCCCACCCTGCTGCCCTCCCCTTGGGTCCTCCATTGCCCAGTGGGTGAGACCTAGTGCTGTGGGGTGGGGAGGCTTAGTGCCACCATGGGTGTGCTGCCTTGGCAAGGCATCCTCTGTCCCCTCAGCAGCAGTGGTGGCATGGAGTTGTGCCGCCCTCTGTTGCTGGGTTCACAGGGGGTGCCTTGAACCAGTACTGGGTTAAGAGGAGATGCCTCATCATGGCAGTGTGGGGCTCCCAGCAGTGGCACCGAGGCTCCCTGCGTGGGCTGCCACAGAGGCCTCTGTGGGGAGGGCAGCATGGAGGAGAGCCCCAAGCTCAGAGCAGGCAACCTGCATCCATCCCCGCCCCACACTCAAATCTGGGGGGCACATGCCCCCGCGATGTCTCTCTCCCTGGGAGTGCACAAAGCAGCAGGGAGCTGACCTCCTGGATGAGCCCCTGTGTAACTCAATCCTGCTCCCCATCTATGTTACACAGCTACCCATTCCTGCCCCAACCCCAGGCACCATCCCGGCTAGGCAGCGCCCCCAGCCCCAGTCCTGCCCTACTCCCTCCCTCAATCTGCCTGCTTCCTCCTCCCCGCCTGCTGATCCCTTCCCCTACATAGATTTACCTGGAGGGAGCTGTGGGAGCTGCTCTCCATGCTCCCTGGCTGCCATATGCATGTGCACCTGTGCACAGGCACATGGTGCCCCTTCCCTCCAGTTGAGCCTCCTCTTGCTCCTCGCAGCTCCTTCCAGGCTGCCAGCCTGCAAGGGTAAACCTGCCGTTTCCCACACTTCTCCCTGACCAACAAACTCGACAGCAATCTTTACTTAAAAAAAAAAAAAGAGAGGATGTCTCATGGGCTGCAGCAGCATGCTGATTGCGCCAAATGCAGCCCACAGATTGAGAAACACTGTTCTAGAGGCTTATGCATGTTGGAAGTTGTGCTGATATAAGGAAACTGCAAATTTAAATGCCTGTAGTTATACAATTATAACTTACTCCCTGTATAAACATACAGATTCTGGAATAAGAGTGTCTACAGTGCCAAGTACAACTGATAGTTAAATTTTATTGGGATAATATTACCAGTGCAATTTCCCATGCTGACAAACCCTTAGGGGTAGCTGCTTCATTATTTTACTTTTGCCCTAATGCCTTTCAATTATTAGTCTTGTGTCTATGTCAAGAGTATCTTGAAACTGTTTATTCATTGTCAGTATTCCAGTTCACATACTCAGAACTCAGAGTCACCACATTATGGGTCCAGATCCATATTCACCCCAGCCAGCATTGATTTGTAAAGAACAAATCATTCTAAACCCAGCTTCATTTCCTCTTTAGACGATGTATGGTATTTACTCAAATCCAAGGAGAGGTATCCTCCCCACCATTTAACATTGGGGGCGGGGGGTGCCTCTCACTGGATTTGAATACAAAGCAGTTCGGGCGGGGGTGGGGCCGGTGGGGAGGGGAAGGTGGCTTCTACAGTTCTGACTCTGGCCCTAACTTGGGGTTGGAGTCGGTTGCAGCTGCTGCCATCTCCTTGTTACCTCCCCAGTTTCTGCCCCACCCTTACTACCTCTGCCTCTTTCTTCGGTCTCCCACCCACCACCTCCACCCTGGTCTCTGGCTCTGGCATGGCCTCAGCCCCACAGAGCACATTGTTGCTCCTGGCCCAGCTGTTGCAGCAGCTATGGCAGTTTGAGCCCAGCGATTTGCCACCACTGCAACACCTGCTGCATGGCTGGGCTTGGGCCGGACCAACAATGTGCCCCATACCATGGGCTGGAATGGGGTCAGAGCCAGAAGTGAAGCAGCAGCAAAGGTGGGCAAGGGCACAGAGGCTGCAGGGAGGGACAGGTACCAGGCCAAATGGTGGGGGGAACCAGTGGCAGGGGACAATGTATGTGTGGAGAGGGGCAGATGCAGGGGTCACTTGACTGCTGCCTGTTCTTTTGCCATTGCTTGACCCACTGCGGGGGAGGGGGCATGAGATCTAAGACAGCCCTCCAGTAATTAGATCCTATACAGAGGAAATAATAAAAAATTTAAACATTTTCCATGTACAGAATTTTAATTATTGGGCGGGGTCCTCAAATTCAGAGTTGTCTTGGATTTGGGCAAATATATTAACTAGGCGCATGGATGAAGGGAATGCAGTGGACATATATGCATATTTGGAATTAATAAGGTTTTCAGTAAAGTATACCTGACTTTTTCATTAGCAAATTTAAAAAACGTTGGCTATGTAAATTAAGATGAGGTAGATAAATAATTGGCTCAATAACTGCTAATTATAAAAAAATCAGTGTTGGAATCACTGGCAGTTTCATGTAAGGTTTCACATTATCTTGCATCTTGTGCAGACAAATTCAAGGTGGTACACCTAGAGAAGAATACAAATGCTGGGAGATAACTGGCTGAGTGCCTGAGAAGGGTCTAGGGCTTTTGGTGGATCACAAACTCAGCATGAATCAGCAGTGTGATGCAGTTGCCAAAAAAGCAAGTGCTATTTTAGGCTGCATCAGTAGGGTGGTTGTTAAAATTAGGCTTAAGACCTAGGAAGTAATAGTATCATTTTACTTCGTAAAGAGGTTCGAATGCAAGATGTATGAATGGAGGTTAAGAGAAGTGGCCATTTTTAGGTTGCAGAAAAAGCGATTAAGGAGGGGGGACATGGTAGTAATCTTCAAATATCTGAAAGGCTGGCATAATGAAGAGGGAGAACAATTTTCTCCCTTGCCACAGAGGCTAGGACACAAAGCAATAGCTTAAACTGCAGCAAAGTAGACTCAGAATAGGAAATATCAGGAAGAAAATAAAACAACTTTCGTAGTATTACAATAGTGAGGTGATGGAATAGATTCCCAGGGAAATTATGGAACCTCTTCATTACAGGTTTTCTAGAAAAGGTGGGATGAATAATAGACAGGGATGATTTAGGAGTAGCATTGCTGCAGGGGGTTGGACCTGGTAACCCTTGAGGTGCCTTCCAACCCTACAATTTTGTAAACCTATATTGTGAAGGCAGACTCAGAGACGCAAGAAAACTTCTTTTGCAATTCTAGTTTTTCCTAACAGACCACCTGGCTCAACAACAGCTGGTGCAAACTCAACAGCTTTATAATTAATAGCTATAAACTACCTTTTAGTCTTTGTCTGTTAGCCTAGATTTGGAAGTTATTTATTAATCTTGCTGCATATTTTTGCTTTTGAAGGTGAGCAGAGCCATCCTTTTTAAGTCTGTCAAGGAACAAAGATGATTATTTAATCATCAGATTAGTTTCTTCTTAAATGGTTCTTCTTTTCAGGACGGAGACAATGGATTTTTAATATGCACATGTGCAGGCTAATATTGGAGCCTTTGGCTGTTACTGTAATATAAACTGTTTATCAGCTCTTTCAACATGTAACAGTTCTTATCTACTCCAGTAAAATAATAATTTTTAATATGCAATCACAATCAATCTCTTGTGCATATTAAAAAAAAAAATCCCACATGCATTCATCATCTTCCATTTGTGCTAGAACATATCTCACCCCAGACTTCCTGTAACATTCAGAAGGAACTGTGGGATTTTACCTACTTTGCTATCGGATGCTGGTCAGACCGCAGTTTTCCTACCCCTCTATCGGACACTGGTCAGACAGCAGTTGGAATACTGCATGCAGTTTTGGGTGCCACACTTCAAGAGGGATGTGGATAACCTGGAGAGGGTCCAGAGAAAGGTCACTCGTATGGTTAAGGGCTTGCAGGCCAAGTCCTACGAGGAGAGACTAGGGCACCTGGACCTCTTCAGCCTCTGCAAGAGAAGGTTGAGAGGCGACCTTGTGGCTGCCTATAAATTCATCATGGGGGCGCAGAAGAGAACTGGTGAGGCCCTACTCAACAACGTGCCCCTGGGGGTCACAAGAAATAATCGCCATAAGCTAGCAGAGAGCAGATTTAGACTGGACATTAGGAGGAACTTCACAGTTAGGGTGGCCAAAATCTGGAATGGGCTCCCAAGGGAGGTGGTGTTCTCCCCTACCCTGGGGGTCTTCAAGAGGAGATTGGATGGGCATCTGGCCAGGGTCATCTGAACCCAGCACTCTTTCCTGCCTATGCAGGGTCCCTTCCGACCCTAACATTTATGAATCTATCTTTCCTAGTGCTTTACCTGTCAGTGCTGTACCTGCAGAGGGGATCAAATGCCACAGCTGATACCATTTAAAATCAACAGAGCAATCAGATAAATCAACAAAAGGTCCACGCCAGATTATGATACTACTTAAATCACTAGGAGTTTTGCAAAGAGAATTTCACCTATGGCTGCACAAAAGAGACTTTACACAGTTTGTTTTTCTGTGACATACTGAAAAAGACATCCCCCACCTTACCTTTTTAGATTTATTTCAGAATTTAAGACATTGTATTTAAACGCAATTTAAGTTTCACTGCTATGGAAATAATAATTTTTGTTGATTATAACAAAAAAAATCTTGTTTATTTCAGTATGTAGTACAAATAGAAGAAAATAGAGCAAATGTGACACTATTGAGAATTCCTGTTTCTGATGCTGATAAGCCTTACACAAAGGCCTGGATTGCTCGCTTCTCCATTACAAAGGGAAATGATGATCTTGCTTTTACTGTTGCAACTGATAAAAAGACAAATGAAGGGCTACTATGTCTTACTAAGGTAAGCAAAGATGAAAATGTCAGCCAAAAATTGTTTGGTGTTTTTCAGGGTTACTTTAAACCAATAATTTAATTTTCATTTTTGTTATTGCCATAAATTCAGATTAGTTAATCTGTTTCAATTATGTGTCAGCTTTCGACTGACACTGGTTTAAAACAGTGGAATCTGGGATTTATTTTACAGTAGAGTTCTTTGGCAAAAACATAAAGCGAACTGTATAATATATATTTAGAGAAATTTAACAAACTGTTTATGTGGATTTTACTTTTTTCCTAATTTTTGCTGGGAGAGGAGGGAGGAGGAATAGTGGAGGGGTTGGGAAGAGGCAAGTAGCTTTTATTATGGCTTTCAAAGAGATTTTATAATTCTAGAATAGCTTGTTTTAAAACTCTGTGTTAACCTTTTGGTTTTGGAAGCTGTACTGCCTGTCTGTATTTGTGCAGGATTTAGAGGGAGGCCTGCTCCCAAGAAGTAATCAGTATAAATTTCATCTGCTTCGAGAACATGCTTGATGCACACTTATGCATTCAAGAATATTTCTGTAAACAGTCTCACAGCTTCAAATAGCTTCAACTCTGAACAGGCAGTTTTTTTCTCTATTACTGTTGTCTTGTTATAAGTGAAAAAGTATCAGTTCTAGTTTGATGGGTAAGATTTAGAATTGTTAAGATGCAGAATGGTAAATGGAGAAGTTAAGGGTAGAAATTGGACAGGTTTCAGTTGTGATATCAGGTGGACTTATACTGTTTGAATGTGTAGAATTTTGTTAGTGATTTTTCTCATTAAAGTCAGCATAGATGCCGTGGTACCAAAGAAAAACTCATTTTCAGATAGGTAGTAATTGTTATGTTATTTGTATCACAAGTTCAGAAGCTATTGTTATTAGTAAAGTATAACTCAGAAATACATTCATGTATGCTAACAAGTAAGTGTCATTTATTACGGGCAGCAGAAAGGAAAAGCTGAATGTAGTCTAGATACAAGGTCTTGCTCAGATAAGTACCGTGAGAGAGACGCACATTTAATTCTTAATTTAGCTTCAGCAGCTGTCCAGCAAATGGGTGATAGTGAAACCTTATCTGTGGTGCTCCTTAAGATCTTTCAGGCCCTTTTTTTGAAAAAGTTTCTATTCAGTCATTTCTGAAAGTCAGGTCCCTCCTTAAGATGCCTCAGATTAGACGTTCAAATAATAAGGTACCCTTAACAAATAGCCATTTTCTAAAATCTTAGCTACATATGACTTTGCCTGTTTTTTAAAATAGTGATGGGAAAGTTGTAGCAAATGTTATCCTCATATAAATGAAATGCATTTATTTTGCAGGGACTGGACTATGAAAAGAGCAGACAGAGGACACTTGAAATTACAGTAAATAATGAAGACCCATACATACTAGGCCCACATTCAAGAAGCCTGGTCACATGCATATGTAGTGTTATAATTAACGTGATGAATGTTGATGAGGAACCAGTGTTCAGTCCTCCAATATTATGTATAGAGGTTCAAGACTGTGACAAAATCGGAACAGTGATTGGCAAATACACAGCAGTGGACCCAGAAACTGGAAACAGAGAAGGCATATGGTATAAATAATTTTCCTATGTGGATTTATTTAGCATTTGGGAAATAAATTTAAACAAATTAGCCTTATATAAAGTTGGGGTGTTTTTTTAAACAAACATTTTACTCTTAATAGCTATCGAATAGCACCTGGCCAAAGTGATTGGATCACCATTGATGAAAAAACAGGTGAACTCCGAACTAATAAAGTTTTGGAAAAAGACGCCTTAGGAATGAAACGTGGTGAAAGTAATATTACAGTCCTGGGAATCGACCAAAGTGAGTACCAAATGTTATAAACTGCCCATGTTCTTTATAAAGGAATTGTGTGCTCATAAAAATAGTCATGGAACTATGCTATCAGTTTGCTGTAAGACTGTAATGAAGACAAACTTTTTACTACTGCACTCTTTTTGGCAATAGTAGTTGTCCTTAATGGAGGTTGCAGCCCAAATTCCCCACTTACAGGAGGAGGAAAAGAATATCATTGTTTGCTGGAAAATGGGGCAGCAGCTCCATACAAGACAGGACCCCATTTTCAAAATACTTACAAGCATCTGCAACGGGGGTCATATTTCCAAAAAAACTTAGTTCTGTTTTATAGTGTGTACTTATGTAATTATTTTAAAATCTAGCACTTTCAGTGTTCAGTGGAGAGCACCATTCTTCTTGTTCCTCCTCTTCCCCTCACCCCCCTTAAAAATTTGATTTAAAAAAAAATGATGAGACATAAGACCAGAGGAGGGAGGGAAGCATGTTTGTATATAATGTAAATACAATATTACAGCTCTGTGACCAAAGACCTGTAAAAAGAATCTGTATGAAATGATAGAATTTAGCATGCTGCTTTTACAAGCTTTAGTCAGTTATCTGAATTCTCAGTTTTTGCACATGCTCATGTTACATGTGAGCAGTGGATCAGGATATCAGATTAGGAGAGGGAGTTTTGTTGGTTGCTGTCGCAAGAAGAACCTGACCAGCCTGCAGGCTCTACAAAGCCAGGAGACTTCCCAGGGCAGGCTCTGCTTAAGGATGCCCTTTGGCAGTAATCAAGAGGGATAGGGAGATTTTCTTTTTTATGGGAGGTTTTTTTTTTTTAATTAATGTTTTTGGGGTTTTTTTAGCTTGTTTTGGGGGTGGGGAAGGGAAGGAGTTAGGTTAGGGGCAGGTCCAGGGGAGTGAGCTGGTGCAGTCACACCACCCCAGAGAAAAGAGCTCTGGTCTCAGCTGGCAGATGCATGTGCAGCAAGTTTACTGCCACAACTGCATTCCACTTTGCAGCATCCTGGATCTGCTACTGTGGATGTGAGTGGCACTTGTGAGGAGGCATGGTTGGGACTGGTGAAAGGGTTTGCTTGTATGTGTTTTTTTGGGCAGAGAGGTGGGAGTTGGGGGTGGTTGGAGTTCTCTAGTATCTTCTCTCTGAGTGGTTTGCTTATTGTAAGCTACTCTGAGCCTTTTGGATAGGGTGGGATATAACTCTAATATCTAAAGAATAAAATATTTAGTTATATAGTGATATTGCATTATTGCACCCCTCCCCATAAATGGGACGAAGGGACGAGAGTGGGGTTAATAAAGACCTGTGTCTGACTAATCCATGTTCCCAAGACAGACAAGCAACCAAACACAGTGCAGGCATGCCTTCCTTGTGCTCCGCATGCTTCCTGTTCAAACAAATGCTCTCATTTAGTTTGAATGGGATTGGATAACCTGTATCGGTATAAAAGTGAGTATTGGAAGGAAGGAACAAGAGGCAGGATTTTTACACAAGATTTTGAAATTAAAATATCTTGCACTGTAGATAATTTCCTAGCAATTCAAGACAGACTTTAGCTTGTGATCTTATTACTAAAGAACCATCTCCCTTTTTCATCCAAAAGGTGGGACTTGCAGTTTCATATCTTCCCATCCCTCATTGCTTGAAGGGCAGGGGAGTAGGCAGAGGGTAGATATTTTCTTCAGTGAAGTAGAGGTGGTGGGAGAGAACCGTTTCAAACACCATTTTGTCTGTGTGCTACCAGAAATTCCTAGTTCAGCATCAGTTTTTCCTCCTGATTCCATTTTCATTATGTGATTTTTGAGCCTACACATCACTGAAAAGAGGGGGAAAAAGAGCTCTGTGGAATAAGTGATTTCCTCCCCCCACCCAAGCCACAGACAGCTAGAGACATGACTCTTCTCTTTTTACTGACGATGACAGTTTAAATCTACTTTACTTTTAATACTTGGCTATTTAACATGAATTAAATGAACAATCCATTTTACATTGGGGAGTAATAAGCATTAAACTTAAAAAACCCCAGCTTGTACTAATATTACAATTGCTGTCTTGTAGGTATGAAAACAGGTACTGGAACAGTAAGGATTATCTTGAAATGTGGGAACAAGACTCCCCCAAGGATAATTAGGGCAAGAGGCATTGCATGCAGAAATGGAAGGCCAGTTTGCTTTGATATATTTGATCCAGATAAAGAACCCTATGCTGCACCCTTCAAAGCCCGCATTGCTGATGAACATATGAATTCATTATGGAAGACGATACAAAATGATGGTATGCAAAATTAGCTACTGCTACTACTACTACTATTTTTAAGAATAGTAATGGTCCTAATTATTGTATCTCAGAAGTAAGATAATTTGACTGTGCTTCCTAATCTGATATAGTTAGAGATTATTAAGTGATTACTTAATGTCTTCTATGTGTCTTCACCACCTAGGAAACTACCTACACCCAACCTTGGGTCAGGACTTTGATTTTGTGCGTTGCCCCCAAGGGAATACCCTCAATACAGAAATATGAAATATATATCAGTGTGGCCCTTTGCTATCCTCTTGAATAGGTATATGGGGTAGATCAGGGATGGATGGAGTTATCCAGAGTTCTGACCTTACTGTGGAAGATAAGTCTTTCAAGATCCCAGAATTAAGGAGTTAAAGAGGCTGGTTGTGTTTTCTGGGGAGTACAAGGCACAATCTGGCTCCTGTTCTTTTTAGGAGAGTGAAAGCGAGTCATAGGGTTGGAAGGGAATTTACGGGTCATCTACTCAAACCCCATTCATGAATGAAGGAATGTTACTCCTTAATGATCTCTTTCCAATGCTTATGCAGCCTCCTTTTGAAAACCTTCAATAAAGAAGAGTAGAGGCACACTGATACATCAGTACCGATATACAGAAACATGGCTGTATTGAAAACTGGCCTGAAGTGGCCAGTAATTTGGCCGATAAATGCCAGTGTGTGCACACAGCTGCAGTACAGCATGCAGGCAGCTAAGAGTATAGCCCAGCTGTGAACAGCTAGTAAGTCTGTTGTAGTGGAAGGGCATGGGGGGAGGGGGCAGATCAATGACCCCTGCGGTGAGGGAGGAGGCAGGGGCAGGAGCTTCCCAGCAGGGCAGGGTATGGGACAGCGCCACAGCTTGTCCATGGGGTAGGGGGAGTGGGAGGTAGCTCCAGCTGCTGTACACATCCTGAGAGGGCATGGGGGGGTGTGCCCCCCACATCTGCACAGGGTGGGGCAGGTAGGTTGCAGCTGTGGGCTGGGGCTATGCCAGGCTCTTTTCAGTTGGGGCTGGGCTCAAGGGCTGCAACACTGGGAGGGGAGCCATGGAGGGGGCTGCAACCACCCCAAATTTCTCTGTAGCCCCTCCCCATAGTCCTGCTCCCAGCACTGCCACTGCTGCCCAGTGTAGCCCTGGTTCAAGCCCTCCGCCTCCACCCACGTGCCAGAAAGAGCTGGGGTTGTGCCAGGCAGGTGGTGGCAGTGCTTTGAGTGGCACTATGGCAAAATTTGGGGTAGCTGCAGCCTCCTCTGTAGTCTTCCTCCCAGCATCCCTGCCAAGAACAGGCAGGTGCAGTCCCGGCTCCAGTCCCCGTCCTGCCCCGTGCAGATCCACGGCACATGCCCCCGCCCCCCCCATTCCGCCCTGGGGTGCACGCAGCAGCGGGATCCACCCCCTTGCTAATGAGCCGCGGCTATGTCCAACACCTCGCCCCACCCCAGCGGGGCAGCGCCTGACCCCTCCTTCACCACGGGGGCTGTTGATCTGCCCCCCTCATGGCCCTTCCCTCCCCCTCCACCACAGACTTACCAGCTGCACACAGCTGTATCAGAAATCAGATCGGGATCAGCCGATATGCCTCCTTCAATATTAGCTATCTGTATCAGCCCCCAAAATCTCTATTGGTGCACCCCTAAAGGAGAACCCACTTTTTTTTCTTTAAGTGTCATTGTCCCTGACCACTAAGCAGGAATGACAGAGGTGCTTCCAGCTTTCTTCCTCTTCCCTTTACTTTCTGTGGACACAAAGTCTGTCCCATAAGCACCAAGGAGCAGGAAGGGGAGGGGTAGGCCATGCTCAGCAAGCTGTGCCTTTGATTCTTCTGTAGTTGATAGAGGAACAGGGCCAGACAGCACTGAGCAGTGGCCATGCTTTAGGGCCAGCAGTTGCAAGCCAAGACCTAGCATCTGTTGCTAACTGCAAAATGTGCCCGACTCCTCACTGAAAAGCTAATGTGCTGTCCTCTTTTGCCTGCCTAGAGATACCACAGATGCCTTGCTCCTCTTCTGAGATAATTAATGCAGTTCTAGAACAGCCCTTGCTACTTAGTAGCCCATGCTCTTGTCTCCTCTTTCTCATGTAGCCTTGATAAGGGGAGGGTGTGGGGCCATCCCCCCCCTTTGGGTAGATATAATTTATTTTATGTTTACATATATATAATGTTTACACACACACACTCTACTAGTAAATCAAAAGAGCTAGAAACAGAATCCATAACAATAAAGAGGTATTGTCAGAGATGAGCTGTCAAAAGAGCAGGTGCTAATGAATTGATACACTAGTCACAAGTGTAAAAAATAAACAAGTCTCCAGAAACAGAAGGTAGTAGTTTTAAGTACAGCTTTTACTAAAAACATAATAATATATAATATAATTTATGTTATAGTAAGTAATAATATGACTAGAATAAAACTATATAATTTATAGTTTTTGTTAAAAACCATACAATAAGATTACACATTTTGTTCAACTTTAGCTCATTGTCTGTGTGACTAACACTAACAGTTCTCCTTGGGAATATAAAACAAGCTGTGACTCATTAGAGAGAAGCCAAATTCTTTTCATTAGACCAGAAATTTAAGATTTTATGCTACTGGTCGTATCCATTTTCTTCTTACTGCTTTAAAGAATAAAGACGACCAAATATAACAGTTTCAGGCATCTATCCGGTCACAAGAGTATATTCTACCTGAATCTGGAGTCCCACATCATGTACCCATAACAACTGTAGATTTCATTTAAATAAATTGCAGTCTAGAAATGGAAGGTATACATTCAGAATTTCTAAATGAATTTAAACATAAAATGATTGAGTTGACAGCAAATATACAGCATCTCAGTAAAAGCAGCTCTTGCTCTTAGGTTTGATGACTGGTAGGTACATGTGTTGCCTTAGAATTGGTCAAAACAAACAAAGACCAAGGGTCGGTCCCCCACCCCACCTCCTTTTGGATGCTTTTCTCTCTTAACCTCTCTTAAGGCGTGTCTAGATGAGCAGACGTTTGTTTCCCCAGGGACAAGTAGCAGTAGCACACCTTGTGCCTCTGCTGCTTGTCCCTGGGGAACACCCATGCCACGTATGCTCTGGCATGCAGCAGGTTACCCCAAGTGCGGTAGAGGCTGGGGCTGGCAATGGTGCTGGCCCCAGTAGCCTTACCTGGGGTTGTTGGGTCCTCCCAGGGCTGCAGCCATGGTAGGAAACCTGGTCAGCAGGCAGAGTGTGGCCAAAACTTAGGGTCTAGATACAAAAAGTTATAACAAATTTATAAATTTTCCATGTCTAGAATCTAATTATTGGGATCATCTTAAATTCAGTGTTGTCTTGGATTCAGGTAAAGCTGGTAAATCTTAACTGTGTATGCAATGTTACAACTCAGGAAAAACACCTTAGATTCATTGTAGATAACTTTTCTAAAGATATCAGCTCAATGTACAGCCAAGCAGAATGTAGTGGAATTGGAAAAGGGTCCACAGAAAAGTAGCTAGGGCAGTAGCTGCCATGCTGGAGAGACTAAAAAGACTAGGACTCTTCAGTCGGGGAAAGGGAAAGGTTGAGTGAATACATGATAGCTATCTAGAAAATCATGAAGAACACAGATAAAATGCATATGGAATTGTCATTCAACAAGTCTCATAATACAAGAACTAGGGGACCACAATGAAATTTTCAGGAGGCATGTTAAAAAGAAACATATCTACTTGTCCTCTTACTTCATTTTGAAGTAATGCCCTGTTTTATCAAGCATTTTTGGGGTGAGAGTGGAAGGGTTGTAAATTTGGCTAGCAGGGCCCTGATCTTTGACTGGGACCACAGGAAAAAAAAACAATCTGCAAAAGGCTATTTGAGGTGAAGTGACAACATTTGCACCGAGAACACACATTTTAGATCTGCACAGGCAAATTATTCAGGTTAATCAAGAAGTGGGGAACATGACAGAACTGTACCAAGTCAGAAAAGTTAAGTTGGACGCTTCTCATTATCATTGTACTGTATACGAAAATGAAATGGAAAAGTAACAAACATAAAAATGCCAGAGGAAATGTTTTACACAATGTAATGCTCCTCTGTGAAACACAGTAAAACGTGATATTAACAGTCAAGAATTGAGCAGACTCAGAAGTGATAGGAAACTAATAGGATTAATGACAGCACATTAGGTAATCCAAAAACTATTTATGAAGGGATAAGGCAAGAATATTTAGAAAGAATGTAAGTTTTCATGTATCAAAGCAAAAAAAAAAAAAAAAAAAAAAAAAAAAAAAAAAAAAAAAAAAATCAGCAAGTGAGGGAGATGCTTCTCCAGTGACCATCTTGTACATAGTTATTCACAACCAGTATTTTATATGTTGTTTTGAATTATCTATTTTAAAGCCTCAGCAAAAAAACAAGATATTGGACTTTGTGAACTGTTCACTTGAGTAGATATGGCAGTTCTCACGCTAAAGAACTGAGAATGGATTAATTAACTTTTCTCTCACTAAATAACAAAGTCCAAAGACCATCTATTTAATTATCAGACACTTAACCTGGCATTTTTGTGAAAACATTATATAATTTAAATGAATAAAACTGAAACAAATCACAATCTTTCAAACCCGGATCTTCACAGAGGACTGTTCATTTCCAATTGTAATAGATTAACCAAGTACAGATAAATGGCAGGAGGAGGAGGGAGTAAATCCCTCAAAATAGTTTATCTGCAGTATAAACATAACTGAGACAACTTTAAGCTACCTGTCTCGGGTACCAGTAGTAGCATGGAGCTGAGTTCTTATAGAAACTGCAGGGATGCTGACAAAATTTTACAGTGTACATTTGTACAGAAAATTTGCTTTCTTACAGAGTAACAGAAGATAATAGAGGTCAGAGTAGCTGTGCCCTCATTTCCATATAGTTTTTCACAGATTTCATTTAATACATTTAATACCAATGGCTTCTGTAGGACATTGTTAATATTGCCCACCAATATAACATTGAATACCGGATTGGTTTGGTTTCTTTTTTGCAGGTAAATCTATATGTCTACAACCGAAAAAAAATGCTCAGGTTGGAAGTTATAAAGTTCCTCTTCTAATAAGTGATAATGGAGGAAAGCAAGAATGCACTGATCTTATAATTGACCTCTGCGATTGTACTAATGAAGGTTTATGTAAAGACATCTTTGAGCCACGTTTACCTCGTAGATCAGATAATTTCTTTCTTGGAGTAGGGGCCATCCTTGCCATGATCTTAGGATCACTGTTACTACTGTGTAAGTATATTTGAATATCCTATATAAGATGCAAAATATTCCATCTCAAAGTTAGGTTCAAGGCCCTGTGACAGAATTCTGTTAACCACTTATTCTATGATGTAGCCATCAATAGTGCAGTTTCTGTGCATCTTCTATAAAAAAAAAAAAAAA